AATGGTGTGGGGGATGTTTTCTTGGCACACTTTAGGCCCCTTAGTGCCAATTGGGCATCGTTTAAATGCCACGGCCTACCTGAGCATTGTTTCTGACCATGTCCATCCCTTTATGACCACCATGTAGACCACCATGTTTTTAGAACTGTGACCTTAAATGCCTACTTTCTGTAAGCTGTTAAGGTCTTAACGACCATTCCACAGGTGCATGTTCATTAACTGATTATGGTTAATTGAATGCTGGAAGGAAAGGCTGTTTTACTGATTGACTTTTCTATCAGATCTCAAAAGGGATGTGTAATTTTTTGTGTTTTGGAGTCTATTCAAAACCTTGGGAATTGTCTTCCCAAATTGCTTGCATAGCAAGACAACTGGCCAACAGGTTGTAAAGTCCCCAACTATTGACTGATAAAGTACAGAAAGGAATAAAGTGTCAAATGTGCAACCATTGTTGATGAAGCCTTGTAATTACAGTTGATCGGTGAGGTCAGTAACAAGAATACTTTGGAGAAATATTTCAATCAAACAATCAGGCAGCGAAGAACATAAAATACTCGATTCAAAGGTGCTAGGAGCTGGGAGGGATATAATGGGCTGGTTGAGGGTCCCTGAGGACTGGGTTGAGAAAGTGATTTAAAGTGTCAGTCTTTATTATATAAATGGTTATGTGCTAATCCTGTCTTTGGATTTTAAGCCTCAATATTTAAAACACAATTTAGTCCATATTATCGGCCTTCACAGTACATTACACAATGAGTTTTCCTAGTTCAGTTCACTGTGTATGCTTCCAGTCCTATCATATTACACTAAATATATTTGAGCACCATAAGTTGGCTTAGGCCAAAAAATATATAGTATATCCAAGTGAAAATGGTGTTTGTTAATCATAACGTTAACTAAAGGCTTGATTAATGAATTATCAAACACAAATAATAGCTCTCAACCAATGTGTTTGGCTTAATTCAATATAAATAATATGCATTCGATCAACAGCTCAATCAAAGTTATTTGAAAACTGAACTGGAACGGAAGCTATTGTACACACTGAATGTCACGTTTAGGATTTGCAGCCCACATACCGATGTAATGTCAATTTTCTCAATAAGTTATCATAGTATTTTGAACTTCCAACTCTCAGGAGATAAGGCAAAAAAAAAGGGAGGGGGGGGGGGGGTTAGGCTTCTACCACCTGCACACATCCCTGCCAAGCACACACACAAAAAGACCACGCGGGCTGCTATGGTTGTACTGTTTATAGTCATAGGATTTTTTTTTCCTTTTTTTGTAGTACATCACAGTTCTGAGACGGCAAGCTCCACTTCACCCGAGGTTTCCTTGGTAATATTTGTGCTTTTAAAGGCAGACTTGTACCAAACATACCAAAATCAATCATTCATAAGTCCAACAAAAAATGGATGCATAACACCCAGAGAGCATACAACATACTACATCTAAACTAAGAATTGGCTTTGGAAAAACAAAAAATATAGCATTTAACAAAACTCAAAAATTAAAAGAATGCTACTATATCTTATTGCAATCTGGAAAAAAAATGAAACGCAATGATCCTATTAATTTGTTTTTAAAGACTTGATTAAATGTAGAACAATGTTGAACAAAATGTAAAAAAAGTCACAATGGCAAAATAAGGAACGTAGAAAAGATCACGGATACAGATTAATCAAACAGTACCAATCTGAATTTATATGCTATGTAAAAGTGGCTTAGTTCTACAGCATGTCCAAAATTGTATTTAGTTTGTTCAGGACTGTTTCAAGTAAACCATGATTGGTGGTATCTTCACTATTATATATACCTAGGGAATTTCCCCATTTCTCTGAGCAACACAAATGTCTGGACAAATTGGCCAGATATAAGTAAAGTTTTAATGAGTAAAGGCAACACATTCAAAGACTCTGTCCTGTACAAAAGGCATTCGTGTTTGGGATGTTGGCTGGAGCTTCCACTGGTTGCTATGAGGCACTGCTGCACTCTGGGCTCACCCCTTTGCTGGTGCCCCCATCATTAGGTCTCACAGACGGGCCCGCAGAGCCTCTGGCAGTGAATCGTCCTTGGCTGTCGATGACAATCAAGGTGCCACCCTCAAGGGTACTCTTTTGAGCCAAAACCTGATCGGTCTTCTCATCATGGAGTGGCTCACTCAAATCAAGGCCATCATGACCAGCTTCCACCAGAGAACCTCTTCTTTCCCATCCATCCTCTTCATTTTTTTGGCTGTTGAAGGACCTTGATAATCCATCAGGCCTGTTTTTCAGGGTCTCAGAGAAGCGACTTCCCTCTGGCTGTATCCCACCTGCCATTTCGACAGGATGCATGCCAGGTACACCTAGACCACTTCTGCCATCCAGGAAGGCATCCTCGCAGGATTTCCTCAACGGTTCTACACTCAAGCCCCCTGTGACAGGCAATTCTCCTGAGTCAGTAAAACCCACAATGTCTTCACTATGGCTGAGGCAGAGATCCGAAGATAATTTTTTAGGGTCACATGATACTTCCTGGTCACCCAAAGTATTGAGGTCTTCTCCCCTTGTACCAACTTCCTCTGGCAGCTGATTCATAGAACACTGGGGAGCCTGCTCTGGACCAACTGTTGCCCTAGAAGCTTGATTTTCAAGGTCATGTGCTGGACATGCCCCATTCCTACTCTCCGCTGGGGTAGCTGGGGCTTCATCCTCTGGCTGGGCCTTGCCCGTAGATGGGGAAGACATGGTGGGTTTGATAGGTTGATGGCACATTGGGCAGGTCTCCTGGACGTACAACCACTTGCGCAGACAATTTCCATGGAAGAAGTGGCCACAGTGTGTGACCACGGCAGAATTCATCTCCTGGGTAAACAAGATGTCGGATATATAGCCAAGAGAGAACATACGTGCAAATAAAATACATTTCTAATAAATTAACTCATACTAAACATATAGGGCAATATAACTTCCATCCATCCACTTTTGTACCTGCTTGATCCTGAATTAGGGGGGTCTGGAGCCTATCCTGGAAGGTACATGCCAAGGCAGGGAATAACCCAGGTTGGGATGCCAATCCATCGCCAATCAAACAAACAAACATGCACACACACACACACACACAGGCAATTTGGTAAATCCAATCAACCTCATGTTTTTGGACTGAGGGGGGGAAAGTAGAGTACGCAGAGGAAACTCCACAATGACACAGGGAGAGCAAGTATACTCCGCACACATGGAGCCATGACGGAGACTCGAACTCCCGGACCCAGATCTCAAAAGGGATATGTAATTTTTTGTGTTTTGTTCTTTTCCCTTTCCTTCTAAACAAGCCCAGACCCCAACACCCATCTTGCCTCAGGCTCATTTGTCCTTAATGAATGTCTGAATTCTCTATTTCCCCATTTTCCACCAAAACAACTTTTGGAATTTCACCATTCCCCTTGTTACCTGCACTTGTACCCATCCCTGTACCTTTGAAAAGCAAAGCCACCTGCACAGTAACATACTAGCCAAAACCCCTGACCCTTGACCCCCCCACTGACCTGGAAGCAGATGGCGCAAACGTCATTGAGGTGGCGCAGCTGCTCCGCAGAAGCCCGGGGCAGGGAGTTGATCTTCTTGGCAGCCTCCCGGCGTAGCAGGAAGCTCCTCCAGCCAGACTGGGCGCGCAGCCAGACGTTGAAGTAGGAGTGGATGATGATGACGGAGGCACCCATCCAGCTCCATTCGCCGAACAGCGACTCCCAGGTGCCGTAGCCGACCACGCACAGCGCTACCAGGAACTCCAGAACGCGGCTCACCGCGTTCACGCAGTAAATGATCTCGTCCAGGCTCTCGATTGGGTCCTGCCGCACCAGCTCCACCATGAAGAGCGAGTAGATCAGCAGGGTACCAGTCACCTGGGTGGATGGAGAGTACTGTCCGTTACTCACTGTCCATATACAGCTCCCGCTTCCCCATGTGGGTCATTCCATGTCAAATCATCACACTTTCAGACGTCATCGGCACGGATTTTAACGAAACTTGGCATGCTGATTTGGTCACATGAGTAACTCATGAAACTGAAATTGGGCGTGTCTTGGATCAATATTGAGGGAGATTTAAGCGAACAAGGTTTTAACTTTTTTGGGGGGGGACTATGACATTGACTGGCTATATTTACCTTAATATAAGCTGCACAGAAATGGTCCTCATATTGTTTTAAAGCTATTGTCCAGCTCTATAGATTGAACAAATAATATACCATCCCCATATGAATAATTACTATTTAATAACTGATTAAAATATTTAAACAACAAAAAAAAACAACCTATATTTCAAAATTGATCGATTTTTTACTAAATCTAGCTTTCACTTAAATCTCCCTCAATATTGATCCAAGACACGCCCAATTTCAGTTTCATGAGTTACTCTTTAGAATTTACTCGTCTCTTGGGAATTAGGCTAAAATGTCAGAATCCCTTTCATTTGTGAGAGTACAGTACTGTATAATGTACCATGTACTTTATTATTACTGTATCTAATGTTGGTACTGTGTGTAATTTATCTATTACACTTTCCCATACGTATGGATATGAAAATCGTGTTATATTTGGGGTCCAACGATGGTTGGTTATTATCTGCAGTTTAGCTATCTACGTTGGTCTTAGAACATGTCACCCACGGATATGGGGGACTATAGCTAGAAATCATTCTACAGATACAGATATAAATGATTAATCCACAAAGGACAAGTTAAATATTAAATAAAGTTGACCATAAAAGATGACAATATAACATTCTCTTATGCAAAATGAACACTTCAGGTTTGGTCACTCTGCACCTATCACATCGTTCTTCAACACGGAGGTTTCCTCCCCTACCTGTAGGGAGGTCAGCATGCAGCTGGACACCAGGATAAGCAGCCAAAAGTCCATATGGAAGAACTGCGAAATCTTATAAGCCATGAACCCCGGGAAGATTAATAAGAAGAGACACATGCTGAGGCCTCTGAAATGCCGCCAGAAGCTCCTGTGGGTGGAAACAGAAGTGGACAATGTTAATCAGCAGAGCCCGTCCACCACAAAAGCCCCGCCCTTCTAGTTCCCCATCACTTAGTGTGCTGATGTGAGTTTTTTACCTGTTTCGAGATGCTCCCAAGGCTAATATGATGGGGTCGGTGATCTCTATCATGGACTGCAGGGTGGAAGTGACCACGATGAAGAGGATGATGCTGAGGAGGAAGGTACGCTGTAACACCTGCATGTCCAGGAGGCCGGTCTGGAGGGCTAACAGGAGTAGGGTCACCCCCTCTGTCACACCTCTGAGAGAGCAATTGAAAATGAAGCCAAATGCATAAAACAAGGACCACATGAGTATGGAACATATGAAGCAAATATATTTAAAAAACGCCAACACACATGCCAAATGTGCCTACATTTCTGTTAAAGGACTACCCACTTATATCTCTTTCATTCTAATTAAATGTAATTCCAAAACCATTTAAGAGAGATAAGATAAAAATACTATATATATTTTTTTTAAATGATTTACTTTTCAGTTATTTTCTTTTTTTGGGATCATATCCTGACATCCATTTTTAGTTAATATATAATGATTAATAACTAATTTCTTTGAGGACATTCCAGACAGGCAGGCAGACACCTGCTCACCTGTGCATGACGTTCTCATTCTGCACGGCTGCGTAGCCCCCCAGGTAGAACTTGCAGAGGTTTAGCAGGCCCAGCGCCAGGTAGGACACCACGAAGGTGAGGCCCAGCAGGGAGTAGGGTGTGGCACAGCATTCGGAGACGCTGCCATGAACACAGCGGTCTAAATCAAGCTGCTCGAAGACCCACCCGCTGATCACACCGGAAACGTTATCTCCCTAGCTTAACTCAAGGAATCTCCATAAAACAGTGACTTCCACCCCTTGTGCTTGCAAGCCTCAGCCTGTGCTGATTTTCAGTCCAAATCACACATTAATTAGGCTCAGTTGAGCTGCTGATTAGTCTGGAATCTCTATCGTCAGAGGGGGCATCTTGGGTGGGATGCCAGTCCATCCCAGGGTGTGCATTCACACCAGCAAATTTATGGACACCCATATCTTTGCAGGAAGGAATCCACAAACACAGAGGAGCATGCAAACTTGCAAAGTAACAGAGAAACAAGGCATATTAATCAGTCTGGGAGCTGTGAGAATCCAGCGCTAAACAATGAACACTGAATGAATTGCATTATTAACTCACGCAATTAACTAATTAACTGAAGTCTTATCCCCCACCCATTTGCTTCTGTTTATGTAACACAATGTTTAAGATGATCAATATCATTAAACATTAACATTTCAATCACATATTTTAGCAAAGATCTTAGCTGCACCAAAAACCAGCATTACATAGTGGGCCATGAAAACCAGGTAGGGCTGCACGATTAATTGGTTTTAAATTGCGATCTGGATTCATCATCCCTATGCCACCTCATTATTCCATGACACCGATTCTGCTGTGTTTGCATTAGTGGGGTGATCCATTGCATTAAACCAAGCATTCCCCTTTTCTCTCTAAGCTGTATCAACATATGAAGTGACAGTCCCATTTCAGTAATGATTTTAATATTTGTTCCATTTTCATAAAGACAATGTGAAGTGCTAATAATAAGCAACAACAATAATACTACAGAGAGAAATATTGTTCAAGAATTGTGAGAAAAAAAATCTCAATTTCAATTGTGAATGCATTATTTTAAAAATTTATTTTATCCATAGTAGTGCAGCCCTGTGACCAGGGTTCAAAAATACTAATTACAGTAACCAGTAGATAGTGGATTCAAGCCCAGCCCCAAAGGTTCATCATTTTCCCTATCAGTGACTCCCTAGCTGACAGCAGGGGACCATGTCTCATGCTGTATGATGCCATAAAAGGATTGAAGTTAATAATTTAGTCAACAGGAAAAAGTTGCAAAAACACACTATGTGGAGAAATAAAGGTATAAATCTACCACAGCAATAAAAAAAACGATATTTATTCAGTTAAGACCATCTAATTTGCATTTAACACATAAATGATCAATTTTACCAATGACTGGTTGCATCATACACAGATGCTCCATTTCAGGCAGTTTGGCTTCCTGTGCTTAGACACACTGCCCATATCTGTCGGTCCACTGCATTCTGAATACTGTAGCAGTTGTACATTACTAATGTCTTTGGAATGACCTGTATCTCATATTGGACCGAAAGGGCACTCAACCAGAACTCAATCACTGCGTCTTTCTGAAAGACACTTAAAAGTTAGGATATAAGTGTTTGAAAGTTTGGTGCAGGTTTGTGCTGTAGGATAAAAATGTCAGTATGACATACATTAGTATTTATTGTATCCACTGGGTCTAACAGAATGTAAAGAATTAGACTGAACATTTAAAAAAACATTTAAAAGTTGTTATAAATATTACAAATATTGTCCACATTTAATGTAACAAAACAATGCAATAATTTCTGTAAGCCAAGATCTCAAAAGTAGAATATAATTTGGCATCTGAGGCGCTGAGTAATGCTTAAACTGTGGGGTTATGAAAAAGACTGCTTCACTTTGCTGGTGAATGTAGCACATGCAAACGTAATAAGAGCATTGGGCCTCACCTGGTAAGCAACACAAACAGCACCCCCTGGTGGCTGACAAAGTTATTGCTGGCTGTGGCATACGTGTATATCTGGACTAGGAACAGCACAAACCAGAAGACGCTGAAGAGCGTAGGAACAGCAAACTGGTTCCACAGGGAGATTCCCACAGCAAGCAGCCTGTACAGTTCAATTGCCTGTACAGGAGGAGAGGGGAAAAAGCAAAGAAGCAGGAAAGTCAGAAGAGATACTCGTATCTTAGCATAAAACACGACCGGCTGGAAGTGGGCACAGGAAATCTGTAGTGTCACAATTTCAGTTTCTTACCTTAGCTTGCCTCTAGTGAAAAGCAAGTTACTTCCCCCAAAATTTATAGAACTAAATATGTATATGTTACAGATTCCACAGCACAGAGTGTTCTTTAGATTATTTTGCTGAGGCAGACTTGAAGAGACATCCTTCAGGTCATGAAATACAGGCAGTCCTCAGGTTACAAACGAGTCTATATTTAAGTCAATTTTGTAGGTAGGTTGGAAAAACAGTAATACAGTACAAACCACTGAAGCCACACAATGTTTTTCACAAGCATCACAAAGCAGTGCGTGCTTTCCTTATCATGAACCATTATATTTTACCCAAGTTTTAATATAATAGTCCTTATGGCAGTCCGTTCATAAGTACAAGTTCTTAACCTGGGATTGCCTGAATGACACTATATTCTATCCCAATACTAGACAATACAGTAATGTAGAGCGATCTTAAAAAAAAAAAAACTTTATCATAAATCTGACAAAATCCAGGGGTACTGCAATTGTAACATGACCCTCTGCTATTCATGCAACTCCTTGGTGGTCTATCAGTGTGAGTCAAAGGCCATGTTCACACCTCCAGCTGCTGGAACTCCCTGTACAACGTCTGAGCCAGGTGATAGGGCACAAAGAAGTTGGAGAGGAGGAAGATGGCTGCCTCAATGCCCGTGAGGACCATGGCGAAGGAGCTGACTGTAACCAGTGTGGAGTGGGACACAGTGCACAGCCGTGCCAGCAGAGGGAGTAGGTGAGCAGAGAAGAGCCACACCTGCCTGGTCCTCATGAGGAAGGCACACAGTGTGCTCAGGATGATCTGGCCTAGAAAGAGAGGCACAGACTGCATGAAATTTGGAGACACATACAATAGACAGGGAAAAAAAAATTGGCGGGCAGAAAAACATTGCACAAAACAGGAAACACCTGTTAAGTGATGCATGAACTTTAAACACATTGCACAAGGAGAAAAGTTAAGTGTGGCAATTTCTTCCATCCATCTTCCATAATTGTTATCCATTACAGGTTCACAATGAAAGGCTAGGGTACAATGCACAGCATATGCCAAGGAACACTAAGGGCAATTTACAGTAACCAATTCACCTTACTGCATTTCTTTAGAAAACAGAGAATCCTCGGGAAAACCAGTGCAACATGGGGAGAACTTCAGGCCTCCCTGCGGTGTGATTCGAACCCCAGCTCTGTAGGTGTTAGGCTACCACTAAGTCACCATAGCACCCTTAATGTGACAGTAACAATTACATAGTTATAAAATAATTTAACTATGCAAGTTCCATCCAGTGTACATGTGAAAATGTGTCTGTAATAATAGGCAAATTGCAGCCCAATTTAAAAAGGTACTTTCAAATACCACATGGTCAAATGTCATTTCAGGTAGGCAGGTAACCAAAAGAAACCAATGCACACATCTCTTTATCTTAGTAGTAGCTTTTCATTAACTTGAGAGAGAGAGAGAGAGAGATGACCTACTTGTGAGTGCGGTGACAAAACGGTTGAAAGCCAAAGAATCAAGATAGACAGCACCATCGTACCCATATTGCACCTCTCCACGCACATAATCTCTGGGTATAAGGGAAAAGGGAAGCGCCATTGTATCTCAATGAGAAACATACATATAATCAACAATGCTGTACAGAACAATTTACACCAGTATTACTGTAAAGATGTAAAGTACAGCCTCACTCTTAGAATCAACTATTTTTTTTCTCTTAAGAATGAGGGAGATTGTCAATAAAACCACCATGAAAAATATATAACATACAGCACAGCAAGGGCATATAATAAAACAAACCAAGTAACTGAAAAACAAACAATTAACAGACTTACAAATCCGTTTGACATGATATAATAGTAGCAAGTTTCTAATTTAAAAAAAGTACCCCACTTGTCTTATGTGATGCCACACATGGCCTACTGCACTGACTGTGTGCTGGTATGGAGGCGTTTTGTCCGTAGTTGAACAGTTACTCGTATGCATTAACCAGCACATCGTGCTGGAGAAAAGAATCGCATTTAATGTAGATGTACAACCTCCATCCCTGCATGCGGGTGTGAAACCAAGGAGGAACTCAGAACCAGGGGCCATCGCTTCTCACCTGGAGATCTGGTGTCCCATGTAGAGCAGCAGGGCTGTCAGGACATACAGGTAAAGCCCCACTATGTGCCTCAGGGGGAGGGCCAGCAGCACCACGCTGATCAGGTGGCCTGCGGGTGACATCAGCGTCATGGTGATTTAGTGAGCAGAACCATGCATGCAGACAGCACATGGAATTCCCTTTCATCCTCCAAGCGTCCATCCAGCTGGCGGTGACATGTAGGCCTGGAGCCTAAGCCAGACAGCATACGGAGCAAGGATAACATACAACCTCCAGACACAGCTTTGGGATAGGCAACAGAGCTACCTACTGAACCCCCAGATGCAAGAAGTACAAGCATGGTAAAAGACAAACAATGAACCCTCATCAGCCTAAAACAGCTGAAACATGCATTTGTGAAGACTTCCATTTGCCAATAATTATTAACAAAAAATCTCGCTATTTGTTAGCATAAACAGAGAAAATATCTTCTTTTCTACAAAATGGATTTTTAAAGAAGCTTAAAAGCAAAGAAGGTGGTCTCTTCTTGTTTGCCATACTTATATTTCTACATTTATTCTGCACAGATGTAACAAAGTACTACACCTGTACATATAAAATACTGGACAACATTCCCTGAAAGCAGCTGCTTTAATTAAGAGTACACTTACCGACATAATACATATTCCACACCACATATTTGTATTTAAACAGCATGTCTTCGTTTCTGGCCCTGAGGTGCTCCGTGAAGCTGTCCATGTCACATTTGTACAGCAGGTCCAGCACCAAGATGCTGGGCACCCTTAGTGCGACGTTTGCGATATCCTCCAGACGGGGCATTTCGTAGAAGTTAATGATCGCTGCCTAAGCCGGCTGCCAAGCTCACGCTTCACATCATTAGGTTGTTCATGTAAATCTGGGTTTGTCCAGGCGATGAAAGACTGGCTTATAAGTAATCCCCACGGACGCGTCCTTTTTTACGATTCCTCTTGCCGGGTCTCCGGAGCACCAGCATTTTCACTTGGCGCAAAAACAGTACGGAGTGTAAAATTTCCAGCCCAAAAGGAAGTGGCTGTATTCAGCATAAGACTCATCATATACTGGACAAAACTACTGCTTAAGAAAAAAACATCCCATTCAAAACACCTCCATGTATATTAAGTCATACTCGATTTTCGTCATTACAAATACAGCCACGCGTGGAAATGTCTAAAAAAAATTACGGAACATTATATCACAGTCTCCCCCGACTTTAGTTTCATTTGTTAATTCAGGGTTTCTCTGTACACGTACACATAAACAAGGATTGTGTTAAGCAGTTATCTTAACACTCCCAGCCCAGACAACACAGCGATCAGACGACTAATGCTAAAATAAACAGAATGATCAAATTGTAAACGTTTTAAGCGTTAAAGCCACCATGTTTAGCTTTAAGAGCCATTATGGTATTGGTAAACTCTGACCCCACTACAGTGTTGGGGTTATCTAATTAGGAAAAAAACATAAAATATTCAGAGCGAAACTAGCAAGTTGCGACAAATGATAAGTGTTACCAGTGGTGTTTCCCACATAAAAAAAAAAATCCAGGTAATAACCATATGAACGGGAATAACTCGGCGATAAACTGCCATCCGCAAGGCCACCTTCCGGAAATGACGTCTGAAGTTTTCCAGCAGCTTATTGGTCTTACGGATACTTATCGGCGATTTGCTGCGTATGTTCACGTGACCCTTACAGCTGCACGGTAACTTTCTCCATGAATCGTCATTCTGTATGACTGATTTTTGACTCCCCTTGGTTTTATGAAACGGATACATTCGTTCTACAAAATGGATTTTTAAAGAAGCTTAAAAGCAAAGAAGGTGGTCTCTTCTTGTTTGCCATACTTA